CGCGACGAAAACGCGGACTAGTACGGTTCAAAGGATCAGGCCGACGTCTCAGCCTCCGGTCAGCCTCCGCCAGGTATGGCGGCACTCGCTTAAAAATTCAGCGGATGATTTATGGGCGATTGCTTACGCGACGCGCGAATCGAATAGCTCATGCCGGCATGCGTGCGGAGCCTGCACTGTCCTATGCATTAGCTCTAAATGCGCGCCCATTTCTACTTCTGCTGCTACGTTATCCTTAAGTTTCCGTGTAAAGTTGAGACTTTAATTGGCACACGGTAAATACTCTTTACAAGAACAGGGTGCACATAATACATATGAAACCAACTTGCATGAATTTATTACCAAAGAGCTGCGTTTATTTACAATTGTGCGCTGTCGAGTGAAATACAAGCAGGTTAATGTTCTTCAATGCCAAAAAAACAGTTATAAATCAAATATTGGCATTTTAGACACCAGACTACTCCAACAAAACGCATAGATTCTGCGTAGTTCTGGCACAAAGTAAATCTCTGAAGCAATGCTGCCCCAAATACACTCCATTTAGCTATCAGGAGCTAAGAATGACAACCTCCTCATAATGAATGACCTGCCGTACTATACGCAGCAAGTAAGTGGCGCAGCCAATGATAACGCTGCTATTTACAGATAATTAATAATAATAGTCACAAAGCTGTGAACATTGCAACTATTACGTTTTAGTGAAGGCGCTTTAAAAGCAGTCTGCATAACAGTGGCGAGCTGCTACTCATGCAAAACTCCCGTATGCGACCAACCGAACCGTTTTGTTGAAGGCGCTGCTTATAGCGCCTGATAATTCATAGCTGACTGCTAACTTCCTGCTAAAATCCCGTAATGCCAGACCCACTCAACGCGTTTTTATAGGGCTCTTTATACTGCCCTGATAACAGTGGTGGGTGTGCGACTGCTAGCTTCCTGCTAAAACTCCCCGTATGCAGACCACCAACCGGTTTTTATGAGGGCTGCTTTATAGCTGCCCTGATAACATAGTGTGACTGCTAACTTCCTGCTAAAACTCCCCGTATGCAGACCACCAACCAGTTTTTATGAAGGCTGCTTTATAGCAGCCCTGATAACATCGCGCGACTGCTAACTTCCTGCTAAAACTCCCCGTATGCAGACCACCAACCGGTTTTTAGGAGGGCTGCTTTATAGCAGCCCTGACAACATCGACTGCCAAGTCAAACAGACTGTTTCCTTGCATCATGCAGTCACAAGATCAACGTTAAAAATGATTGAATAGGCCCTATACCGATGTAGTAAAATTAATATTCTGCTAAAAGTTTAAATCACAGCTTATCTGAATACTTGAGACAAAAATACATTTACTACGAAATATTACTGTGACCTTTATATTCCGAAAAATTACAACAAGTTGAGAACACGGTTAATTAGCAATAATAACGAAGTTTTGATCTAAACACTGGAGATGCAATGCATAACTAGTATAACTTTTATAAAACAGAGACATTTTTATGCGCAAATGTTTAAAAAAGACTAGTTGTACATACAATGCGCAACACACACACTCAAGTTATCTTCATTGGCGTATCTTTTTTCAATTTCTGCCTGTGTTTGTTTTAAAAGACGGCATTTTGCCGAGAGGCAAAATCCGCAATATAAGACGGAAACCCGTGACACAAAATCTGTGTACGGTCTTCGGCTTCGTCCTGCACCCGCATATATCCCCTTCCATGTAGTGGTGTAACTTCCATCAAACCAGTAAACTTCCAGGTTTTCTTCATTTTGTTCCACCTTCAAAGTTATATATACATTACTTTTACAGAATAGTTATTTAGGTGTGAAACATTTTTTAATAAAATGATGTAGGCATAAGTACACATTTGGTACGTCTGTTAGTGAGTATTCCCTATTCCAAGTTATGTGAGATAAACAATGTGTTATAAAACTTGCATTCCTTTCCATTGTAGTGCACACAACAGACGGAACTACAGCTGGATTTACTTTGATGTGCAGACAATTGCCGTTTTCATAATTACACGTTAATTTTACCAGTAGCATACCTTTCCAATCCATGGCCTGTGTTGCCGTGTTTCTGTATACACAACTACAAACTGCCCAGTAGTGATGTTGTTCCTCTCCTCTTCCACCACATCACGAGCAAGGGCATCCCCAACTACAACCTAATATTTTCAAGGTTTTAAAGATATGAGAGAAGCAATAACAGCTGCTGCAAGAACATCATAAATTATGGCATACGAGTCATAAGGTCAATTTAGCTCTTTCCATGTCTATCTATTTATGTAGTTTGTTTTTATAAGAAATCAAGTTAGCGCACAAATTATTAATGTTAAAATACAACGATAATAATGTAACCGTAATATAACGGGTTCACAATATAAATGTCTATTTGTAGCTGATATAAAACAGACATGTGGTTCAGTTGGGTATCATAAAGTATATTATATGTGCACATTATACTTACTGGAGGACAATCAGTTTCTAAGCCATTTTGAATCGCTCGTATATGCGGTGGCAACTCAACCACAATATGTTCTTCAGTATTTTTTGCTTTTACATGCTGGACCAACTTCGCTAACTGCCAGCTCTCACAAAAATTTGGAACTTAAAAACGATACAATTTAGTCGAAGCGTTAGGTTTAGCGCAAACAGTCACTTTTTCAATGTGAACTATCTTTTCGAAGTGCAGTCGTATATGCAAATAATATTTGGCGACATTCTATGTTTATCAATCCACCGACATATATAAATACTCTAGACATCATTCTTTAGTCCACCAGCTTGTATATTATTCAAGTGAAGAGAAGTGAAGAGCATACGATGCTTTATACGAGTTCACATATGATGATGGCATTTTATTAGCAATTCTCTCTATATTTTGCTAACAAAATTAAACACAATGTTTACCTCAGTCAGATTTTCTAAACTGTTAATGTAGTATTGCCACCAAGCATTGGCATCGGCTGGTATCCGAGCACCAAACCTACCTGGCAGATCACGTTTAAGTTGGGATACTTCAAGCTTATGAAGTGAAGGATGCAAGTAATCTGGAGGTGCGTTAACATCTGGGACTGTCTATATACAACATAATGAAATGTCAACATAATAAAATGTGAAAATGTGGTTCACGTACTGTATCCACAAAAATAAAAAACGGTGAGTTTAGCTACAATATAACCACTTTCCGTTCAGATATCATATTCTTACAACTGTATAAATCTATGCTAGGATAACTCCTCTTCATTTTAAATGCATAATCCTTGCAAAATACGATTTCTCTCGGGAGATATTGCTTATGCGAGCGCACCGTGTTAGGCGTGCAGTGCCGTCTGAGGAAAACTTCATAATATAGCTTGCTGCGGGGGAGAGGGGATGGGAGACTGAGGAAAGGCGGCAGGGAAGATAGCTGAGGGCGGTAGAAGAAGAAGAAGGCTGAGCGAGGGACAGGGGAGTCAAGAGGGACGATGGAAGGAGATGAAGTAGTAGTTTCGCACCCTACAGGCTAGGGCGCTCTCCTTATTATAAACACAGGTCCACGGCAAAAAGTTTATTACATAAATCTATGCTGAGATAGCCTCAAACCATTTTAAATGCAGATTCATCACAAAATATAACTTCTCTGATGAGATATTGCGCATGCGCTAACACACTAACGTACACAGATTGTGTACTGGCTGGTATACGCAGCGGGAACCTTACATGCAATGTCTTCCTCCTATTTCTTAAATAATGTCTACTGATGGAATGTTATCATATAAATCTATGCTAGGATAACTTCTCTTCATTTTAAATGCATAATCTTTGGAAAATACGATTTCTCTCGGGAGATATTGTGCATGCGCGCGCACCGTGTTAGGCGTGCAGTGCCGTCTGAGGTAAACATTATAATATAACTTCCTGAGGGGGAGAGGGGATGGGAGACTGAGGAAAGGCGGCAGGGAAGATAGCTGGGGCGGTAGAAGAAGAAGGATGCTGAGCGAGGGACAGGGAAGGCAGGGGGAAAGACGCGAGGGCATAAAGTAGGTGTTTTGTACCCTACATGCTAGGGCGCTCTCCTAATTATAAACACAGATCTACTGATAAAGGTTTATTAGGGAAATCTATGCTGAGATATCCCCTAACCATTTTAAATGTATATTCATCATAAAATATAACTCATCTGGTGAGATATTGCGCATGCGCCAACACACTAACGTAGACAGATTGTGTACTGGCTGGTATACGCAGCGGGAACCTTAAATGCAAGGTCTTCCTCCTATTTTTTAAATGATGTCTACTGATAGAATGTTATCATATAAATCTATGCTAGGATAACTCCTCTTCCTTTTAAATGCATAATCTTTGGAAAATACGATTTCTCTCGGGAGATATTGCGCATGCGCGCACCGTGTTAGGCGTGCAGTGCCGTCTGAGGCAAACATTATAATATAGCTTTCTGAGGAAAAGAGGGGATGGGAGACTAAGGAAAGGCGGCAGAAACGATAGCTGGGGCGGTTGAAGAGGAAGGAGGCTGAGCGATGGACAGGGGAGGCACGGGGAAAGACGCGAGGGCATAAAGTAAGTGTTTTATACCCTACATGCTAGGGCGCTCTCACAATTATAAACACCGGTCTACTGAGAAAGGTTTATTAGAGAAATCTATGCTGAGATACTCCCTAACCATTTTAAATGCATATCCATCACAAAATATAACTCTTCTGTGAGATATTGCGCATGCGCTAACACACTAACGTAGACAGATTGTGTACTGGCTGGTATACGCAGCGGTGACCTTACACACAAGGTCTACTTCCTATTTATTAAATGATGTCTACTGATAGAATGTTATCATATAAATCTATGCTATTATAACTCCTCTTCATTTTAAATGCATAATCTTTGCAAAATACGATTCCTCTCGGGAGATATTGCGCATGCGCGCGCACCGTGTTAGGCGTACCGTGCCGTCTGAGGTAAACATTATAATATAACTTGCTGAGAGAAAGAGGGGATGGGAGACTGAGGAAAGGCGGCAGGGAAGATAGCTGGGGGCGGTAGAAGAAGAAGGAGGCTGAGCGAGGGACAAGGGCGGGTAGGGGAAGGACGTGAGGGCATAAAGTAGGTGTTTTGTACCCTACATGCTAGGGCGCTCTCCTAATTATAAACACAGGTCGACTGATAAAAGTTTATTAGGGAAATCTATGCTGAGATATCCCCTAACCATTTTAAATGCATATTTATCACAAAATATAGCTCCTCTGGTGAGATATTGCGCATGCGCTAACACACTAACGTAGCCTGATTGTGTACTGGCTGGTATACTCAGCGGTGACCTTACATGCAAGGTCTTCCTCCTATTTCTTAAATTATGTCTACTGATGAAATGGTATCATTTAAATCTATGCTCGGATGATAACTCCTCTTTATTTTAAATGCATAATCTTTGCAAAATACGATTTCTCTCGGGAGATATTGCGCATGCGCGCTCACCGTGTTAGGCGTGCAGTGCTGTCTGTGGCAAACTTCATAATATAGCTTGCTGCGGGGAAGAGGGGATGGGAGACTGAGGAAAGGCGGCAGGGAATATAGCTGGGGGCGGTAGAAGAAGAGGGAGGCTGAGCGATGGACAGGGGAGGCACGGGGAAGGACGCGAGGGCATAAAGTAGGTGTTTTGTACCCTACATGCTAGGGCGATATCCTAATTATAAACACAGGGCTACTGATAAAAGTTTATTAGGGAAATCTATGCTGAGATACCCCTTAACCATTTTAAATGCATATTCATCACAAAATATAACTCCTCTGGTGAGATATTGCGCATGCGCTAAATACCTTTTTCCACACGCCGCAGAAACGCGCGAGCAAATGGTCTCCCTCTGGGTGGAGGGACACACCTCTGATTGCTGTTCTCTGATTGGCCACTTGGCAAAACAACGTCCAACTCGCCTACATCGAGTTAGCGAAATTAGAACATGTTCTAATCTCCCAACTAGCTGCTATCGATCGGTTGGACGTGCGACTTTTGCGTTTACACTGCCGATTGTCAGTTGCCAAATTGCCAAGTTCGTACAATTCGGCAATTCGGCAACTCAAAATTGTCAGTGTAAACCCAGCTTTATGTATATAGTCCAAATATAACAATGTGTCTAGTCCCAAATAATAGCAATATAACTCTGTAGCTAGCCTAGACCAAATATTACTATGTATCTTTAACAAGAGCACTAAAGCGGCGGACGCGAAACTTTGATGATGGCAGACTCGTTTAGCGGGGCCCAGGTGTCGGAATGTATTAATTTCTCAACTCATTAGCGCCACACAATGTGCCCCGATATATTCACTCCCACTCGGCAGAAGCGATGCCGCGTGAAAAGGAGTGTGAAACGTCATTGACAGGAGAGAAATATTTGAACAGACTTACTTTTACTTCGTCCGACTTTCTGTCTCTCGCTCTCTCTCTCTCGGAATTCTCGTAATTCGCAGGGCCTTCCGTAGGTCCGTACTCCGTGAATCCGTATCGTAGTGTTTCTGCAGCTTTGAACATCTAAAAAGCGTCTATCGATGGATTCGCACGTAGAGGTGTATACATCGTATACTACGGTACGCGATAACATCACTTATAGCACTTTAGAAGAGAAATTAAACGCGGAATTTCGTTTTCCTGTAGATTTCCGACGGCGAACAGCGAATCAGACGACGCAACTGACTTGCGTCCGCCATCTCGAGGCGGAAAAAGTCGAATAAATACGTTTACGCTGCATCGCGTAATATATATATATATATATATATATATATATATATATGTTTATATACATATATATTATCATTTAATTATTATTTATGAATTTCAACACTGCGGGTTGCTATCACATATACGGGCAGCAGCTTTACACAGTCTCACTTCGATTTAAATGCTATATAATAAGCTGTGACCGGGATCTTCAACCGAGTAACATATGGGTAATGGAGAATAGTGTATAAAATTGCATATATTGTTCTTAGGTGGGTTAATGCACAGAAATCGTTATTGTACTACTATATCGCCATCTAAATTCATGTTCGAACCCAATCAAATAGCACATCTTTATATTTAATATATGTATTACTGAAGGGGTATCGTGTGTTATTTGAGGTCCTGCAAACGATACTACAACGTATGTTTTAATACATATATGAATTATTATAAAATCACATTGCCCAGTGTATATGATATTTATGAAGTATTCGTTAATTCTGCTTAATCATTTTCTTTACTCCTTCTTTGTCTTCTTCGTTGACGACAAGAGCTGCGTATAGTTCTTCGTCTAAAGACGTAAATGCCTTGGTGCGCTCTCAAAGCTTATTAAATATAAACTCTATATCTCTGCTGGGGTTCTCTGCAGGGGGCGAAGGACGGTATAGGCAAGCAGTACGCTCTACAGTTGGCCGCGCAAGGCCGGAGAAGCTAAAGATGACCGAGAACGAGGTGCGCATGCGCAGCAACGTGCAGGTGAAGACGGTCGTCGTCGACTACAGCGGCGGACG